CCTTGACTCTGAAGTGCTTTGAAGCCCTAAGTGCCAAACTTGGGATGAACAATGACTTCAGCCCTGCTTCAGTGAAGTGTAGAATTATTCTAGGCTTTGGTTTCTTTGATTTGTTATCTTTTGTTTCTTATTCTACTGCTTCCCGATTAAGATAATTAGGAGATTTGATTATTTCTTTATCTGGGGCTTTTATTAGCTTATGTTAGGCATCAATGTTGTTTCTCTATGTATAAATATTTTTCAACTTTTCCTTTTTCTTGGGAGGTTATTTTCTGTATATAAGCTGGTTAATCCAGCAATAATACTATGAACTCTTTTCAGTCAAAATCCTCAGTATCTATAATAATGCTTTGGAAAGTAGGGGAAGTAGATGCTGAAGAACAGTCATACTTGACAATCACCCTTAAAATATCAACTAGCCAGCTGTAGAAGGCAGTTTCTTTTCTCCTAGACCTAGTGGGAGAGGGGAACTGAATATCTCTTTTGCTGCTGTGGGTTGCATCAGCCTTAAAAAAACACGTGGAGACAGTTGAAGACAATTTTTTTACCATTTCTTTTGACTGTTTTCCCCATTAACTTTTCTGGAGGAAAATTTCCTTAGGATTGCTTGATTACCAAATTTTTTGTTTTACAGTGAGTTGCAGAAATTGCATAAGCAATTTGTGATAAGTGGCGTCTTGACAGAAGCCGAATTTTGGGCAACTAGAAAAGTTAGTTTCCTTTCCGAGCTTGGGGTTAATATCAGTTGTTTCTTGATTCCAAAATTCTTTCTCTGATTGATTTATACCTTTTTTTTGCTCATCAAGTGGCAACCTGGAAGCAATTATGTTAACAGAATTGAAATTACCTGATTGGTTCTAAATGCAGAAGTTGCTTGGTGGGGAATCCAACAAGAGGTCAAAGCAACAGGTTGGTCTTAAAAGTGGCATGGTTTCAGATATCAAACCATCCACTGATGGTCGGGTACAATACAAACCTTGTCTGCATATACGTACAATCTAAGCACTTGATTTCCTATTTTCTGATACTATTTCATGGTAATTTTGTCATGTGGAGACTAAATGGTTTTCAAATTGTTCTATTCTCAGACGAACAGAGTCACATTTAACCTGACGCCCGAGGTCATTTTTCAGGTATGTGTTGTTGAGATGGTTATTATTTTGATCCCGCTTGTCACAGTGCAGATATGAACTGGTATTCAGAGGATGATTTTATTTATTACACAAATTTGCTAATGTTGTAGGACACTAGAATGTAGAGTTCAACACAAAGTATACTACATATGAAATAGACATTAAAATGTCGAAAAGATTTGTAGAAATGAAAATTGTAGGGGATTCATTATTGGAAACTAAATGATGGGTTGTTAGAATATTGTAAAAGATCTATATACATAATAGATTGATTATGTTTCCAAATGTATTAAATTAATTAGGAAAGAAATTAATAGGATAATTTATATTTGTTACTATATATAATTCTATTTACATGTATATATATCCCTACTTTAATTTTAATAAAATATAAAAAATATTCAGTATTTTTCTCTAAAATTTACATGGTATCAGAGTTAGAGTTAGAGTTTTTAGAGGTCAAATTATATCAGACCACTTAAAGGATTGAACAACCCATTCCCGACACCGGAGGAAGCCAACTATCATTCTCTGATTAGTTCAGATCGCGGCCGATTCGGTGGTGCATGCAGAAGAGGTGGACGAACTTGCTAGCCGGCGGTTCTATGTCATCAGGCGTCGGGTGAATCGGAGGAGGCCGGTTCGCGTGTGGGAAGAGTTTGACACAAAGTCAAAACACGAAGAAACATTCGGCCGGCCTATTCTGAGCAAGAAACCAGAAGGCTAGAGCGGAGGAAGTCGTGGCGGAGCAGATCACGCAACAACAAGTGTTCTTCGGTTTTCCAGTGCGATTTGAGGTATTTTTTTGCAGCCCCTTCTGCATTTCGATTGTCCGGTGGGGTCTGTGATGATTTCAGACCAAACAGAGGCATTTCGATGATTTCCGGCAGTCGTGTGGTGTTCCGGCGGCAACGCGTGAACTTCCACGGCAACGCGTGCAGCGGCAGTTAGTCTCCGGTGGTGGCAGTGTGCTTCTGTTAGTTTCCATGCTGGAAAAGGTAATGTGTCCCGCATGTATGATGTTTGTAAGACCTTCTATTGTGTTGAGAAGGAGGCCAAATCTCTCACAGTTTACTTTATGGAATTCAAAAAGATTTATGAGGAGCTTAATGTATTTTTGCCGTTTAGTATTGACATCAAGGTACAACAAACATAGAGAGAGCAGATGGCCGTAATGAGATTATTGGCTAGTCTTCCACCTGAATTTGAGACTACTAAATCTCAAATTTTATTCGGTTCTGAGATCACATCTCTTCAGTAAGTTTTCAGTAGGATGTTACGCACAGAGAATACTATACTCAATCAGCACCCTAATGTTCTTGTCGCCAGAGGAGAAAGAAATAATAACATGAGAAAAAAACAGAGCAATGAATAGTCGGAACAATGATTCAAATAATATTGTTTGTTATTACTGTCATGAGCAGGGACATACAAAGCGGCAATGTTAGAAATTGCAGAATCAGAATCAGGGAATACAGACTGCTAATATTGCAACTGCTGCTACTATTAGCTCCTCTTATGAGAAAACTATTATAGTTTTAGCTGATGAGTATACAAGATTCTCTCAGTTTCAAGAATCTTTGAAAGAATACCCACCGGCTACTACTTTTGCTGAATTAGGTAAAATATGTCTTATCTTTTCATCAAACAAATGGGTGATTGATTCTGCTGTTACAGATCACATGTAGGTAAGTCTAATATTTTTAGATTTCGATCGCACAAAGCACCCTATCCTGTAACTATTGTTGATGGATCAACTTAAAATATTGAGGGTTCTAGGACTATAAAACCAACTCCCTTCATTACCCTGATATCTATTTTAAGTTTACTTAAACTTACTTTCAATTTGATTTATGTAGGTAGACTTACCAAATAACTTAATTGTTATATCTCATTGTTTCCTGATCATTGTTTTTTTCAAAATCTTATGACAAAATAAATTATTGGTAGATGACATGTATAAGAAGGTCTCTACATTCTTGATAGTTGGGTGCCTCAACTAGTTGCCTGCTCTAGTATGATCTCTCCATTTGAAGTACATTGTCAGTCAGAATATCCATCTCTCACTGTATTAAAGAAGTTGTATCCTCAGTTTCATGCTAAATCTTCATTAGATTATGAGTCGTGTCAATTTGTAAAATATTATCGTAACTCGTCAAGTTCAAGAATTAATAAATGAGCTAAGTTTACTTTTGAATTAGTTCATTATGATATATGGGGTCCATGTCCTGTTATGTCAAAAATAAGGTTTAAATATTTTGTTATTATTGTGGATGATTTTTCTCGAATAATTTGGATATACTTTATGAAAAATCGTTATGAAGTGTTTACTCATGTTTGTACTTTTCATGCAGAAATCAAAATTCAATTTAATGTGTTGGTGCATATGTTAAGAAGTGATAATGGTAAATAATATATGTCAAATTCATTTCAAACTTATATGACTCAACATAAGACTCTTTATCAGTTTTTGTATGTCGATACATCATTTCAAAATGGGGTTGCTGAGAGAAAGAACAGACATTTACTTAAAATTGTTCGAGCTCTTTTTATTCTAGACACAAATTCCTAAGCAATTCTGGGCAGATGTTGTATCCACTGTGTGTTTTTTGATTAATCGTCTACCATTTATAGTACTTGAATGTGATATTACTTATAATATTTTTTTTTTCAAATAAGTCATTATTTACAGTACAATCGCGACTATTTGGTACTATTGGTTATGTTCGAGATGTGCAACCAGTATTACTAAGTTGGATTCCAAAACTTTGAGATGTGTCTTTTTGGGATATTCTCGTTTGCAAAAGGGATACCGGTATTACTCTTCAAATCTCGATAAATATCTTGTATCAACCGATGTAGTCTTTTAAGAGAATATACTGTTCTTCTCCTCATAGTCCAGCTCTACAGATCAGGTGAAGGACGATGAGTGGTTCATCTATAAATTCCAACACAATACTACTATGGAGCAACAAGGTAATAGTATTTCTTTTTGTGTGCCTTCTGAGCAAACTGATGATGGTATGACTCAAACTCAAGAACCACCGCCAATTATTCATGTTTATTCCAAAAGACAAAAGATTAATGATACATGTCCTGCACCAGCTTTTTCGTCATTTGATCCTACCACCCATGATCTTGATCTTTCCATCAATCTTCGTAAAGGTACACGTCAATGCACCATTCCTTATTCTACTTATCCCATTGCTAATTTCATTTTATATGATCATGTCTCATTTGTTTAACTTTTTAATTACTTCTATAGAGTCAATTTCTATACTAAAAATAGTCAAAGAGGTTTTGAATCACTCCGGTTGGCGTAATGCCATGCTGGAAAAGATAAATGCTCTTGATGATAATCATACCTGGGATCTGGTGGATTTACTCAAAGGAAAAAAGGCTGTAGGGTGCAAATGAATGTTTGCAGTCAAAATGAATCCAGATGGCTCTGTAGCGAGACTTATTTCTGTTCATTCTCTCTAGTGGTCAAAGTTATTTCTGTTCGTTTATTCGTATCTATTGCAGCCTTTCGTGATTGACCCTTACACCAGGTAAACATTAAAAATGTATTTCTTTATGGTGATCTATTAGAAGAAAGTGTATATGGAGCTAACACCTGGGTTTGTTGCTCAGGGAGAGTACATAAAAATTTGTCATTTGAAAAAATCTCTGTATGGTTTGAAATTGAGTCCCCGCGCGTGGTTTGTCAAAGTTCAGTGAGGTAGTCTGTCAGTTCGAATTGAAGTAGAGTAAGTGTGATCATTTAGTTTTTTTACAAGCAATCAACAGTTGGTAGTATATTTTTTGTTGTTTATGTTGATGATATTATAATTACAGGAGATGATCATGCACGAATATCCTCTCTTAAGTTATTCCTACATACTAAGTTTAATACCAAAGATTTGGGATAACTAAAATACTTTTTGGGTATTGAAGTAACAAGAAGTAGGGAAGAGATTTTATTATCTCAGAGGAAATATGTACTTGACCTACTTGTAGAAACAGAAAAGTTAGGAGCTAAGTCATGCAATACATCAATGGTACTAAATCTACATCTTACAAAAGATGATGGTGATCTCCTTGATAATCCAGAGACATACAGGCGACTAGTTAGGAAATTGAATTACCTTACCGTGACTCGTCTAGATATTGGATATTCTGTTAGTATTGCAAATCAATTTATGTCTGCACCTATATTCAAACATTGGGAAGTTGTGGAACATATTTTGTGATATTTAAAAGGTGCCCTGGGACTTGGCATAATCTTTAGAAATCATCAACATTCTCTTATTGAATGTTTTACAGATATTGATTGGGCTGGATGTAAAATTGATAGAAGATCTACTACGGGATACTGTGTTTTTGTTGGTGAGAATCTCGCATCATGAAAAAATAAGAAGCAAACAGTTGTATCTCGTTCAAGTACAAAGTCTGAATATAGATATAGGACCCAATCTACATGTGAAATCTTATGGATACATTATTTTTTAGATAAAATGGGTTTGAAGCCTACATTTTCTATAAAATTCTGGTGTGATAATCAGGCTGGCCTTCATATTGTCTCAAATTCTGTGTATTATGAAAGAACTAAACATTTCGAGATTGATTGTCATTTTATCCGAGATAAGATTTAGGAAAATTGCATATCTATTGTTATGTGAAGACAATAAAACAATTTGGTGATATATGCACAAAGCCTTTTAATAGAATACAAATTGAATATCTTTAGAACAACTTGTGCATGATTAATGTTTATGCTCTAGTTTGAGGGGGAGTGTTAAAATATTATAAAAGAACTGTATACATAATAGGTTAGTTATGTTTCTAAATGTATTAAACTAATTAAAAAAAAAATTAATAGGGTACTTTATATTAGTTATCATATATAATTCCATTTACATGTATATATATCCTTATTTTTATTTTCATAAAATATAAGAAATATTTAGTATTTTTCTCTAAAGTTTACATGGATATTTAACTCTAATTTTCTGGATTTATGCCATAAATTTCTTCATGCATTTTTCAGCTACAAGACTTCTAATCGCTGGTGATGCAGCATATTATATTAGCCTCCATCAGTAGTCTACAAATATGATTTTTTTTTTAGATTCTTTTTACGATCTACCATTTTTTTCTTCATATGTACATTTTGTAACAATACATTTGTCTTCCAGATATTTGCTGAGAAGCCAGCTGTTCGGCAGGCATTCTTAAATTTTGTTCCAAATAAGGTAACAAAGACAATGTCGTGTTATACTTGTTTTATGTTATCCATGTTATGATCATATTCAATATATTAATATCTTTCAGTGTGCTGAAATTCTTTTGGCATCTTTGTTACCATTCTTTTTTGGGGGGATTTGATTTAGATGTCCGAAAAAGATTTCTGGACCAAATATTTTAGAGCAGAATATCTCCATAGTACAAAAAATGCTGTTGCTGCTGCAGCAGAGGCTGCTGAAGATGAGGAGCTTGCTGTTTTTCTGAAGCCTGATGACATATTGGCCAGTGAAGCTCGGAGAAAGGTGGTCTTTCTTTGAGAATTGAATACATAGTTTTCTTCTTAATACATCAAATACAAGAATAAATATTCTGCTGCTTCTGCATTAAACTGTACAATATTAAATTATTATTTTACTTATCTCATAATTTCTTTTGTCAGTAGATTAGACGAGTTGATCCAACTCTTGACATGGATGCTGATCTGGGGGATGATTACACACATGTAGCTGTAAGATAACTGTTGCTTATTATATTTATCAGTATTAAGCGTGAACATTGAAAGCACTGAAGGGGTCATCATGAAGGTTTTTTATGCTCTTCTATGTTAATTTCTAGCACCAAAATTTTACTCGAGAATTTAGAAAACGTTTTAGTCAATATTGCAACTGTAAATAGTGAGATGCTGGTTTTTTGCTTGTGCATTTGTAGAGAGTGCACTAGTTAATTTTTCTTCACCTCTTGATAAGAGAAAAATTATAAAGCATAATGGCATATTAAACTTCAGCAGCCTCTGCTGCAGAAGGAACAGAAGTACAAGCTTACAGCATCACAAATTTTAAGATCTTGTAAATGAGGTCTGATTGGTTCATACCCGAACAGTTAGGTAATTACTGGTGGAACATTGTGGGTTTTACAAATCTTCGATTCAGTTATATCCATCTTCCCAGGGCTTATTATGCTTGATGCTGTCATCAATTTTGCAGTGCTCTTGTATTGGATCTTTATGGTTGCGTCTCTTGGCCTAACAGCTTCATTTACTTTAAGTTAGAGATATATGATGCTAGTTGCCCTCTTTAACATGCAGGATCATGGGATCTTTCGTTATGAAATCAAGGAAGCAACCGAAGAACTGAATGACTTATACAGGAGGACTCTGTCGCAAGACCTTAATCGCCATGCTGCAGTTGTTCTTGAAGGGAGAGCTGTAGGTTAGGTTCTATCTTTTGTTTCTTCTAAATTGCAGCTATATTTTATCTTTTAGTTTTAGTAGTTCATGTCAAGAATAACTATGACGAGGTACGTGTTAGTCAAGTCACCCACTTAAATATGTCTCATTCAGCTTTAAGACTTTTAGTTTGTAAAACTAAATTGCAGATGTTTAATGTGTTTCAAACTTGAATGTAGACATTGACTCAGAAGACACAAGGACTGTAGCAGAGGCGCTTGCGCGGGCAAAACAAGGTTAGCATTCAATTTTTATTGATAAGATTTATACCTAGATACTGTGCACCCAGCTTGTCGCAGTTCAACCTTGACAAAAAGTCTGTTAGCAATTTTTGTTTACTACCTATCTTTTCCTCTGATTTCTATTTTTGAAATGCACTTAAATTTTGTTGCTGTTTGCAGTAAGTAGGGCTAATGTGGAAATTGATGGAGGGGAAAACCAGGAGAGATTGGATAGAATTTCCCGGATGACGGAGATGGAGGATCTTCAGGCACCCCGTGACCCTCCTTTGGCAGCACTTTGCATCAAGGTTGGATTTTCCGATCTTCATATTCTGCCTGTTGCTTGCTATAGTGTAGTATTTTTAATCTCTCTTTTTGTTTTCAGTAGAATATATTTTAGATGTTTTGTTTTCGAAAATAGGATCCTCGAGATTATTTTGATTCTCAACAAGCTAATGCACTTAGAACATCCAAAGATACATCGGGTGCAATGGAACGAACGAAGAGCTTTAACACGCAGAAGCGTATGAATCTCTTAAAGAAATCATTTCTCTGGTTAAAGCCAAAGGCTTGAGTAATCCCATACTCAAATCAGACGTGGCTTTTAAGGTGATAACGTTGTTGTAAATGTTTTGCATGGCCATTAAATGCTGATATATTGTTTTAAATGCACGAGATTAACAGTAAAAATTTATCATTCAGGTTTTTAATGGTTTAACGCATAATATATCAAGTGCTAAATATCATTTAGGGAAGAATCCTCAGGAGAGTGTCCTGGACAGGTTACCAAACTCAACAAAAGAGGAACTTCTGCATGTGAGTTCATTTAGTCCTCGTCACCTTTAATACAATCTGTACTTCTTTTTCTTGATCAGTGGGTTGTGGAAGCATGGTGTATTCTCAATTATTAGAAATGCAATTTTACTTGAATTTTGGTCTTTTTAAACTTATTTATCTTAATATAAACTCTTGAATTTATACTTATATCAAACTTTACTGATCTACAGCACTGGACATCTATTCAAGAATTACTGAAACATTTCTGGTCATCGTATCCAATTACTGCTACACATCTTCAGATTAAGGTAAAAGCTAGGTTTTTCTATGTGGTATTTCTATTCGTGTTTGTTTATGATATTTGATTTTTATTGGAAAGATAGAGGAGTTTGTTTTGAGTTGGGAGTTGCGGAGTAAGGTTTATGAACATAAACCTTACTCTCTGGATATCACATTTTGATCCAATTTTGCTCTCTTTTTTTTTTTCTTGCTTATTTACTTATTTACTAAATGCAGGTTGGTAGACTGAAGGACGCTATGTCAGATATTTATCCACAGCTAGAGGTATTTTACTGACTTCTCTATAAGCACGATGGAACCTGACTTCTCTATCAACATAGTGTTGCCATGGTTGTTAATTATAATACCTTTTAGTAAAATGAATAGCTTGGTAGCTTTTGTGGTGTAAAAATATTTGCGTAAACCATTCTTTTTATGCTACATTTAGTAACTTCTCTATCAATATGGTTCCCACATGTTGTTGATTACCTTTTAATAAAATAAATAGCTTCATATATTGTACGGTGTATATATATTTGTGTAAACCCTTCTCTTTTTTGGTACATTTACTAACGCCTCTGTCAACATGGTGCTCCAATGGTGTTGATTACCTTTTAGTAAAATGAATAGCTTGATAGCTTTTATGGTGTATCAGTACTTGTAGCTTTGTATGATCTAACTGTTGTTTCTAAAGGATGTCTGTAATGCATGTCTTTATAATTCCACTCACCTTATAAACTTCCAGGCATTGAAGGAATCAGTGCAATCTGAACTCCGGCACCATGTTTCTCTCCTTGTTCGTCCAATGCAGCAGGTCAGTGCTTTACTCATGACCTCAGAACTTTCCTTTTGGAGGAAATGTTTAACACTTACTTATACTGCGATGTTTCTGAAGTTTCTATTAAAGACATAAGTTTTTGTGGTTGAGTTGAATAAAATTTCAAACAATGAGTTGACCTGCATGAATAATGCCTCATTTTTCTAGTTGGATTCGGGTTTGATCAGAAAGTACTTGTGTATTTCAATCAAATAGTAAGGGGTTTGCTTGAAGTGTTTTTGAAAAATATATTATGTGGTATAGTCATCTGGCTGGAACTTAGTTTTGCGAACTAAACACAATTAAAATGTGTTCCTTTTGTGCAACAGCGGGTTTAAGGTGGTAAAGGAGCTATGGTTTTTTGATATAGGCTATCCATTGCTTGTTTTGCTTCTTGATATTTATACAGTTAAAAGTCACCTTCTATTTTAATTTATCAGTAAACAGGTAACTAAAATTGCAATGCAACCAATTAATTTGGGTGTGCTTATATGTTGGTGTTGCGTGGAACTCATGAAGTAAGACCACCTTTTCTGCAGGCTCTGGAAGCGGCTTTTCAGCATTATGATGCAGATTTGCAGAGAAGGTCATCCAAGGTTGGGGAGAGACCAAACGGATATTATGTCTAATGGAACGGCTACTCCATTTAATCTAAAGATTTTTGCTGCAACATAATGTTCCTCCCTTTTGCAGCTACTACGATGGTCGATCAAAACAATTTTTATTGAGTTCCATATAAATATTTTCCGGCCCATTTCTCGATCCATTGAAATATGAGTGCAATTTAAGGTTTTAAACTTATCAAACACACAATTATTACAGTTGAGCCAAATTGAAAGTTGTTAAAAGAAGATTGCGGCAGTTTCGCTTTTTTCTTTTAATTTATTGAAATTCAAGTCCATTGTACCTATTATATTTCTCTTCCAGATTGCTCGAGCTCCGTCCTAAGTGGAAGTGTTAGCAATCTGTATAAAAAGGTTTGCTACGATTAGGGTTGACAGGCTCCATACATTGGTTTGAGATTTTTAATATCTAAATTTGTGAATCTTTATTATGAGTTGCCATTTTGGATACCCGATAAGCTCTTCATTTTCTGTTTTTTTTTTTTTTTTGTGGGCTAACATTATTGGAAAAGAAAATTCATGGAAATCAGCGGGGTCTATCCCCGACTTCAAACTGCTGCTCTTTTGGTCTCACTGAGTCACTGTTTCCTCACTGATTCTTAGATTTTTCTCTTAAGGCAAACACTACACAAAGTGGATCCTTTGGCAATATCTGGCTATGGTTTTTGGTTGTAGTTTTTGCATTTTCAAAGTATTTTGTTATAAAAAAATGAAACAAGTTTCTTTTTTCACCAAAGTTGAAGGCAAAATGTAGTTTATCATTTTTGATAATTTTGAGAACACAAGTTAAATAGTACATGATCGAGCCTTAGCTCCCACTTGTTCTGCCTAGCAATCAGCCTCTGACCTCTCTCGCCGCAAGATCAGAACATTGTCCGTCGTTCAGAACATTGTCTGTCCTTCTTTTCCTTTCTTCTTTCATTTGCTATTCTCGCGCAGGGTCTCCTCATTATTTGTTGCTGCTGCTTGTTTGGGAGCTGTCTTGCTTCTGCTTGTCTGGCCGTGGTCCCTTGTCTTCCTTCTGTTCAGCTTTTCCCATCCATATATGAATACATATATATTATATATGCAATTACATATCATAATGTTTTAATAAATAACACATTTATAAACCAAAATGTTGTATTATTGACAACACCTATATATTACACACTTCGTTATATACAGCTTTTTTGCTTCAGTTGATAATTTTAATATCTAACAGTTGGTTCCACCAAACATGAAGTCGTTTTTACTGTTTAAAGGGATAACATTATAAAATTCTCTTAAATAGTATTTTTGCAACTCAAGCTATACCCGCGTTAACATAGCTGTAATCTTCTTCCCAATTTTGACGACCATCACTTCTTTTTATAGTAAGGTTAATTAATTTCAAATAAATCTTAAGTTAATGGTAAGAGTACCAGGCCTGTATTATCATATCATAGGCAATTATCTATCACGAGACTCGGTTTAAGTACTCTAGGATACATCACAAACATGCAGAAAATGATGTTATGAAACCAACAGAGCACTAACAACCTCTTCTCTCGTCTCCTCGGGAGTATCAAATCATCACAAATTTATAAACTATAATTATTTATCAAATTCATAAGTAATAAATAAATAAATATTAATTTATCAAATATCAATACATAATTAAAATTTTTCAAGAAATTTCAGTTCAAGATCAAAATTTTCAATCCTTCCATCCTTGAACTAGTTCGGTCCAATCGATCTAATTTTCAAATCCGTATCAAAATTTAAGCACTCTTTTAAACAAGCAGTCAGTTTAAGAATTTCTGCAATCCTTTTGAAATTTTTTTTAAAGAATACATACAGTAATTTTGCTGGTTCATCTGCTAGCTAGCTCAATTTAAAATTTTGGAGATTAGGGGATTATGTCTTTTTTCTAAAACTTTAATATTCATAATTCATAAGAATGTTTTTTCTTTTTCATTCTCCACCCTACACCCTAACCAAATGTAGAAACCAGGTAAGTTAAGATCAGAGTTATCCGGTGAGAAGACCCAAGAAATTGGATTTTTTAATCAAAATTCTATTACAAGAGCTTCCATGCTGTTTAATTTGCAAGTGCTTTCTAGCCAAACAATCACAACCCAGAATCTATACATTCAAAAACTTACAAACATGCCCCTTATCCCCTCTACATGAACATGCAATGGCAGATCTGACAGAAATTTGTTGACAATCGTAAAATTTAGGTAGAGAGGTTCATGCTTCTATAGTGGGAACTCATAATATAAAGATCTGATAAATCCATGGTAAGCCCAGAACATGCATAGAAAGTGGAAGCAAAAAAGGTGAGATTATATATAGTAACAATGCTCTATCAATTATTTCTTCAACTATAACTGAAAAATATCTCCAGCATTATTACTCCCCACAGATTCAAGAAGAAAAGAGGCTGAATACCCACAACATATCATACAACAAAAGCTAGCAGTTAAGATACCAATTAACACTAAAAAAGATAGTACAAGGTATAGTTTCATTACCCACCGGCATTCCCAGCAGATATCTCATTCCCCTCGTCATCACCCTGCCGTATTTTTGCAATTTCAGCCTGTGCTCTCTCCATAATCTGCCTCTTCTGCATTTCCAATTCTCTGTGGAAATCCATCCTCATCTTCTCCAGTTCCAGCATCTGCTGCCTTTTACTATTCTCAATTTTCTCATAGATTTCGCTAAATTTCTGAATAGAATCTGCAAGCAGACTAAATGAAGACCCGTCAGATTCCCTCCCATATTTTCTCTTTTTAAGCGGAAGCCCATCTGATTCATCATCCTCACCATCAGTGGATTCTGAATTCCCCGGACTGTCTCTCATCTCATCTAATCCATTTGCCCGGTTCAGATAAACTCTTGGGTTCATAAAAACGTATTCTCCAGAGTCCAAGCCACAAGAAAGTCCACCTTGCTGAGGAGGTGATGACATTAGCATATCCATTTTCTTGAAGTAAACCCATTTGCTACTGTTACCTTTCTCGGCCAAATTCATTTTTTCCTTCTTATACTTTTTTTTCAATGTATCAAGACGATTCCTACACTGAGTATCTGTCCTCTCAATCTCTGAAACTTCTGAAACCTTCTCTGCGACTTCTTGCCACTCCTCAGAACGAAGACTCTTTTTACCACGTTGCAAAAATCGTTCACCCCAAGCATCAAGCAGAACAAGTGTTTCACGTTCGGTCCAATCAGTAAGAGAATTCCGTCCACCAAATGATGGTTTTGGCACTGCCAGAGCTGCAACTGGGGACACCTGTACTCGAGGAGCAAACTCATAACTTGAAACCAAACTCTTCAACTTCCTTTTTTTTGGGTGGCTCTCAATATTATCATCCTCGATCCTCCTTGCATAACTTTGTCGCTCGCGAGGAAGCTCATCCATATCCTCCTCATATTCATCATCCTCATCATCCTCATCATCCATATCTTTGCCTACATACTGCAAACCACTATTTTGATTATTGTTCTCTTCTTCCTCCACCAGGTCCTCATCTTCCAACTCATCATCATCATTCTCGTCATCATCAACATATTGACCATCAATTGGTCTAGAATATGGAGCATTCCTTACAGGAAGTTTTTGCCGATTTGAAGAACCATAACCCTGCTGCTGTTTCAACCCATAAGGATTTGGGGGATACCTTGCATCATCTTCAGTGTCATCCATTTAATCTAAAAGTTACGTCTAAAAGCAGGAAGACTTGAAATTGTTTGGAGCTATCTTAATTTCAAATACCACAAAGCTAAAGATCAAAAGCCCAAGAGCCAACCAAAAGAACACTCCTCAATACCCGAATTCTGTAAGCAATCAAGAAATATCTTCATGTTTATATAATCAAATTCCAAAAACTGAAAATATCCACGACGTTTGGGCTTTTCCTCAAATTGTTAGCCTAATGACTTGTTCTACTCACTGCAACCATCGTTCGTATTCCCAAAATTAGAGCCCCTCGTAAACAACAATCATGAATCCTCATTCACGAAAAACTTAAGTTTTAACTCCAAAATTCAAAGCAATCTCGTTCTCTCAACAATCAAATTATCCGAATGAGAAGAACCCCATCTCATTTGCCTCCAAAAAGACATCCCCTTTTTCAGCTACCATTCACGATCAAACATTTCCTAATACATTAATTTTAGAATAAAATAAAAAAGAATCATGAGAAGCCCTAAATTTCAACGACACAATCATACTCAAAAAGCCCTAAACTTCAAGCTGAGAACAAAATCCCAGCTTACAAGCAAAATAAAGCACGTAGTTCTTACCTCAAAAGGAGATCAAATTCTCAATATTTTCTATGAAACGAAAACCTGGTTGGAGTTCTGGAAGTCCCGAACCTCAAACTTGAGAAAACTTGCGAGAAAAAGAGATATACACAGGCAAGAAAAATCGAACGGAAAGAAAATGAATCTTTCGGGGATAAGGAGAGTCGCTGTTATCGTACGCCTTGTGTTCGGCTTTCGGCCCTGAACTTTGGGCTAAACATTTTCTTTGGTTCCTTAAAATGGGTCCGTATCTCTGTTATTCTTTTATTAAATTTTTTTTATTAATTAGATAATAAATATATCAATTATAATATAATAAAAATAATTTTTAAATAAAAATAAACATAAAAACATAATCTAATTCTAGTGACGGTCTCTTGTTTAGAAAGTGATATTCAATTAGTTAATAATTGATAAATCTAATTAAATCCTAGTTAAAACAAAAAAAAATTATAAATTAAAAATAAAATTTTAAAAAGGTATTTGAAAAATGTGTCTTAATTTTAGTAGTAATATAATATATTTTAATTTTAATACCTCGGTAATAAATAATATAATTTTAAATATTCATTACCATTTGATAGCTTTTGGTAACTAATGATCTTCTAAATCTTTATGTTCTTTAACATAATGAATAAATGCAACAATAAAATTAAGAATGTTCAAAACTCAAATTTGTCCAAAGTTTTACTTATTCTATATAGAATTTAAAATAATACATTGATTTTCATTGAACAAATGTGAGGTATATATGCAGGTACAACCTTAATTAAAAGTTAATCAAATATTTTAGTTTTAATCAATCACATTTTTTATTAAATTTATTGTTAATCACTTAATTTATGAGATTTATTATCAATAAACTAATTTATGTGACTTATCGTGTGACGTATTGATACCAAATAGGGTACCAATGTCTAATTGAGCAGATATAAAGAGAATATGTTCATAGCAGCGAAACTATACATCCTCATACAAAATACAAAAGCTTGTATTATGAGAGCAAGAGACTATCTACTTTTACTTACACTACAAAAGATAACCTATACACAAAATATATTAGCCTCTAAAAGTTTAAGAAAAAGGTACATAATCTATTCTTGCAACTAATATTCCTGAAATAAATTTAAACAAGGCCCCTCCACAAACTCATCAGAATTTGCATCGATGGGGGGTTTCGGTTTGGGTGAGTTCTAATACTCAATAAGGTAAGCAATATTAAAGTCACACAAATATGTTTCGAAAATATTTCCATAATGCAAAATTTATTTAAAACAATGATATATCAACATAATTATAATTTCATGCTATACAATTTTTACAGTAACAATGCAACATTGCTAGGTGCTCAATACCGTATTTAATATATTTATATAACATATACATAGCTAGACTTGTCTTTAAAATTTTATTACCGGTTATTAAATATAATTTATATTTTACTAATTACAAACCTACACGCACAACCACTTTTTAACGCCCCGAAACCTTTGCACTTAAATGTGATGTCTAAAAACTCTATGATTTCTAGACCTTATGACCTTTAACAATTAATTTCCTATTGACATTGTGGTTGCATCATTTTTGGTATGTCGTTGGCATGAAATGTTTGTTTTAGCTATTTCTAAATTGTTTTTAATTAATTAATTATTTTAATTTTAATTTAATTTATTTTAGAAATTATTTTTTAATTATTTTAGAAGGAAAGAAAGAAGGAAAAATTGGAAACAAGGAAAAAATCATGCGAACCCTCGAGAGAAATTGCTCGCGCTGGTGAGCCCGCATGCATGTGTGCATGCACAAAAGGGGGACTATGCACACATGCCTGCTTGTACATTGTGTCCACCTTGCGCGTGGTGTCACATCGTGCGTGACTGCGCACAGTCTCATCGTGTAGTCAAGTCACGGGACTACGTGCCAATCGTGCATTGACAGTGCGCGTCCCATCGGCCCGAGTGCTGACAGCGCACGTCCCATTAGCCTGCGCAGTCTTGTCACCTTGTCTGCCACACGACTTTATCACCTCGGCTGTCGTGCAGTTTTGTTCCCTCAGCCGTCGTGCTAACTTATCCCGTCAGTCGCTCGTACAGTCTTCTCAGTCATCCCGTTGTCGACTGCCCCTTTCTCTCTCCGTTACGTGTCCTCACAGATGGATGCCATGTGGTGAGCATCCAAGACTATTTAAAGGGCCTTTTCTCTTCATTTTTTTCCATTCTCCATTTCCTTCTTCCATTTTCCACCTTAAAAAAAAGAGAGAGAATGAGAGTTTAGGGACAGAAAGAGAGTAATAAAGGGTGAAAAGGAGAAAAAGAGTTTTTTTAACTTGTTCGAAGATCTATAGATGCAAGTTCCTTCCTCTTCACCTCCCAAAAAGACACGTCACTCATGAAAAGCTTAAGGTTTCGGTAAGACATTTTTTGAGTATTTCCTCTTACATTTCTATGTGAATTTTCTAGATAAATTATATTAAAAATTAAATAATTTTGATGCATGAACCTTAAATGTGATTGATTGTTAATTTACTTGAGCATGAAAACATGAAATAATATGCTTGATTGATGCAAATCATGATAATTGGAAGAATGTTTGAGTTTGGCCATTTGCCTTGTCTTTGATAATGGTGAATAAGGTCATCCTTTGGGGCCTTGGGTTAAAAGGATGGCCCGATGGTCAAGTCCGGGTAGCATGGGCTTTCTTGAGGGATTTCTTGAGTATTGTTTATTACATTTCTATATGAATTTTATAGATAAATCATATTGAAAATTGAATAATTTTGATGCATGAACCTTAAATGTGGTTGATTGATAATTTACTTGAGCATAAAAACATGACATAATATGCTTGATTGATGCAAATCATGATGATTAGAAGAATGTGAGTTTGGCCATTTGCCTTGCCTTTGGTATGGTGA